TCAGAGCTCAGCTTTTCCAAAAATCTGCTTTCCAAACCTTAAAACAGATTCTCTTTTGAAAAATCTGACTTGTAGCCCTGGTTCTGCTGGTGGAATAGCAAGCAGCATGGCTGTTGCCGGCAGCAGATGCCAAACACAAAGGTGTTTGCTCTTCTCAAACAACTGCAGCATCGTGCCTTCTATTATCATGCTATATAAAATAGCATCCTGCTTTATAGAGGTTTATAGACTTCCTGTTTTTACCACTCTGCAGATGCTTTTACTTCGGGGCTTTTTTTTTTTCTTAACCCTATTCCTATTTTGTGCCACTGCAAACACACCGACCTGCTGTGCCCTACAGCAAACCCTGTGCTGGTTGAAATAAACGTGTTGTGCGGATGAAGGTTTTCTCTGTGAGCAGCAGCTCCCCTTTATCGATGGCCTAAAACCCGTAAGTGTAGTTTTTAAAACATGAGAAGCATTTCCTGGACAACATCTTTGCGCACAAAGCAGAGCTGTGTTTCCCAGACCTACTGGAGACGGAGCAGCACAGGGTCCTTCAGTGAGCTTCCAAAATTGCTTATTTTTTATTTGTGGTAACTTTTGCATTGTGTGATTAATGTGATGTTGCTGCAGATACTTCCTCAGAACCAATCTGTGGAAATCCTCTCTTTTGATGGATAGAAAGAAGTATTCGTGCTTGGCAACATTAAATCCATCACAGCATTGTCCTGAATGGAAACATTTCTTCCTTAGGCAAATCCATATTTTACATTATTTCTTGTTTTTTAACACAAAATCACTCAGTTTCCTACCAAACCAACACAGGGATCAGTTCTGTTGTATATATTGTTAGATGAGGGAGCTGATAGCCCAGAGTGTGGTTACTACCATCACATAAGCTCCACCTGCTGCTGCGTGGCATTGTGTACTGCGTGGTGTAAGATCACAGCCTTTAGCACTTGCCTGCAGGTGAATGGAGCTCCCAGCACTGATGCAGCCCTTGCTGCTCACCAGAGCATTCTGCTGCTTCCCAGGTGCTGCCATGAAGAGTTTCACATCTCAGAGTTGTGTCAATCCACAAGTGAGCTAGTAAGTAATTCTCTGCACAACTGAGCTACAGCCTGCATCAGGAGGCTGTGGATGCCCCATCCCTGCAGGCATTCAAGGCCAGGCTGGATGTGGCTCTGGGCAGCCTGGGCTGCTGGTTGGTGACCCTGCACACAGCAGGGGGTTGGAACCAGATGAGCATTGAGGTCCTTTTCAACCTGGACCATTCCATGATGTGATTCTATGGCATGATTCTATGATAGGATGCAGATAGCTGGTCAGATGCGTGTCCTCTCTGCCTGCTTCCTCCAGCAAATGAGAGACTTTGAAAATCAGCCACCATGAGCACAGCTGGGCTTTGGCACCAAGCACCGACAGCCTGTGAGTGCATCTTAACTGCTGCTCCTTGTTTTGCAGCGAGGTGCCGTGATGTTTAGATGCAGTTTCTCATTCATAGACTTATTATTTGATTGACTTGATTTCGTGTCATGAGCGTTCAGTTAGAAGCTGTTTTCATAGCTGTTTTGCCTGCCCAAAGGAACACTGACCATCTGCCAAGACAAGCTCTTCTTCATCCTCCTGGTAGCCAGCCAAACCCAAACTGTGCTGTAGTGGAAAACTTGCATCCCTGCTCCTTGCATCCCTGCTCCTTGCATCCCTGCTCCT